GGGAAACAGGGATATGGAATATTATATTATTATATTATCAATATCTTATATTCATGTATTATAATTTCACATATTATTACATATAAATACACAACATCCCGCACCACTGCATCAAGGAGCACCATGACAGTTACCGAGTGTGTATATGAGATGTGTAAAGACTAGTAACATTGAAACAACATTTAGTTGCAGCCATGGCAATTGGCAGGTTGGCCATTTGCCTGTCAGTTACCAGGAAAATCATACACTATAACTGCTTCATGCAAATCTAAAACCCGTAAAGAACAACATTAGTACATCTTCAGCCCTAAAACAACTGCACTTGAGGTTAGCTGACAGGTCATAATCAGGATTGTATGAGTCGAACATGCACTGGAATAAGGTCGTAATGTGTGATACAGACACAGGCTAATATATCTACAGATATGTTGTCTGACTTGAGATGAAACTGATTCTTGTGAACTTGTGACATTTGATCTGTGAGGTCAGTAGCAGATAGGCATTCACTCCAACAAATGGGCATGCACCGAAGACTATCTTGACATTCGTCTCGCTGCCTGGCAGGCAGCGAAAAAAATACACGGGAGCGGTTAGCGATTTCGCTCCCGTCAGCTTTCAAAGCGCTCTGGTAACAACAATTACGAGAGCGAAAATTATGGAAGATACGAGAAAAAATCGCTCCCGTGCCGCCGGCATCGTTAGAAATTAGTTCCGACCCGGAGGCCCAGCCCACCAAGTTTTTGCTTGGGCCACCATCTCTACGAAACTCCCGGTTCTCCTGACCGGCACTTTTTCCCCTCATATTACGCTAAAATACTACGGTTAGCGCAACGGCAGTTTAAACAGGCTTGCAAACGGGAGCGCATAATACGACCCGTTCCTCAACGTAGACGGGGTATCCAAAACGAAGACCATCCAATCTAGAGCAGCATGAACTCCTTCCACGCATAATTCGCCACACAAACAAAAACTCGCGATAGTCTAAGAAATCGATTGCGCCATGGCCGGCATGTAATATGCAGCCCATGCAGTGTTTTTATGACCGCATAACAATAAGTTTTTATATCGCAGGGGTTATCGTGGGGAGTGAGGGCACGACCAGTGATACCTAACACGCACGTAATCAAAGCTGTAATTGAATTCGTCACTTTTTTTAACCTAGAAAGTGGACTATTTTTATTCAGTTAGATATCTAGAAGCAATGTTAACTCTATATACTTAAAGATTCTAGGCACTTGTAACTTTGCGGATGTGCGGCAGCATTGATCTATGCATGGGGGTACCGTGGACTGGGGAGGAGAACAACGAAAGTAAAACCTTGTCCAGAAGCTCCCGGCATTCCTACAGATTCCAGTACAAGTTGTTTTTAACATACTCAAAGTAATTAAAAACTCTCTCTGAAGTTCTGAACTTGCTCAGTCGATGTAAAATAAACAGAAATAAAGTAAAAAAAGAAACTTGAAAATAACCATACGATACCATCATTACCATGAGTATAATTCTTGATTTCCTGTCTTTGTCATGTTACCTGACTATGTGTACTGTGTAGTGCCGGTCTGTCTGTGTGAATGAAATTGAATAAGAATGTGATTGGTTTCTTAGTCGAGTGAAATGAGATAAAAAAATGTGATCAAATGTAATTTGTTGACGATTTCATAACACTGATAGTCTGATACTGGTGCCGAGTGCGCGCTGAATGCTGATGAATGATATTAGAGTCAGTGCATCAAAATTATGAAAATGTTAACAAAATCATGCTATGAAAAAGTAGCTCTGGCCAAGCCTAAAATAGCTCCCGTAAAAAAAATTACGAGAGCTCTTTTTTTCATACAAAATAAATAAAAAGCTCTCGTAAAAAAAGTAATGTTTAGGCTGCTGGCAGGGTTAATTGGTCTGAGAATGAAACAGCAATTAAATGTGTTATTAATTACATGTAATTTACCACTGTTGGTGTTGGTATATCATTGTGTCGATACTACATTTCTATCCACTGCATCTGAGTTCCAAGTCTGTTTGAGCATTCTACTAACACGTATACATACAATCGGGAGCTAATGATGACAAATTATTTTATCATTTTATTGACAAATTTTTGACAAATTTTATTGACAACATTTAATGACAAATTAATTTGTCATGATTAGCTCCTGATACAATCAGGAGTTAATAAAGACACATTTGTCTTTATTAACCCCTGATACAATTTACACTTATCGCTATACGGACGAGTAATCAAAATAATTATCCGTCCGTGGCTACGCGTCCGGTGCACACGATGTGTCTCTCTGTCTCTCTTTCTCTGTCTCCCTCGCCCCCTCTCGCTCTTTCTTCCTCACCGTCTCTCTCTCTCTCTCTCTCTCTCTCTCTCTCTAACACACGCACACTCACGCACACGCATGCGCACGCACACACGCACACACTTTCTCTCTCTCGCGCGCTCTCTCTATCTCTCTCTCTCTCTCCTCGCTTATCTCTCTCTCTATCTCTCTCTCTCTCTCTCTCTTTCTCTATCTCTCTCTCTCTCTCTCAATCTCTCTCTCTCTCTTTCTTTCTCTCTCTCTCTCTCTCTCTTTCTCTCTTTCTCTCTCTCTCTCTCTCTCTTTCTCTTTCTCTCTCTCTTTCTTTATCTCTCGCTCTCTCTCTCTCTTTATCTCTCTCACACACACACACACACATACGCATACGCACGCTGTCTCTCTTTCTCTCTCTCTCTTTATATCTCTCTCTCACACACACACACACACACACACACAACACACCGCGCGGCGCCGCGCGCACGCACACGCACGCTGTCTCTCTTTCTCTCTCTCTCTTTCTCTCTCTCTCTCTCTCTCTCTCTCCTTCTAAACACACACACACACCACACACACACACACACACACACACACACACACACGCACACATACAAACACTCTCTCTCTCTCTCTCTCTCTCTCTTTCTCTCTCTCTCTCTCTCTCACTCTGTTTCCCCTCTCTCCTTGCTTATCTCTCTCTTTCTCTCGCTCTTTCTCTCTTTATCTCTCTCTCTCTTTATCTCTCGCTCTCTCTCTCTTTATCACACACACACACACACACACACACACACACACACACACACACACACACACACACACACACACACACACACGCACACACACACACCACGGCATCCAGTAGGCAGCGATTTGAGTGGGGTGGTGATTTCTCTTACTCTACATAAAATAGCACCGAGGCAACATGTGAACAGAATTCACCAAGCCCGGCTTTTCAAATACAGTGTGCTGACATGATGCCTGCCCCATTTATCTCATCGTGACCCATTCACGGATAGAACGATGGTATAATCAAAGACTGGCAGTGCATAACACGTGGTCGGATAACGTTGATGGGACTCTCACTGTTCACATGAGAGATGTAGACTGATACACCACTAACCCAACCGCAGAACAGTCGATCGTAGGCATCCAAGATTTTGTGGTTCTAAAAGTCCTAATTGAGAGTATAAAATGGACTCGTTTAGAATGTTAGGTAGTCAATTCACGAGATCCTAATAAGTACGTGATGGGCACAAGTTGTGGTCCTCGCTCCATTCTCGTACGAGTGTCGATTCCAAATGCACGCAATTTTCTCGAGATAGCGTGCTTTGTTTTATAGTGATGGCTTAATTGATGGACAAACTGTAATGTGACTGACCGTAATGCGACTAACCAGGGTTTTTCTATCCACAAAGGATACTTTTAAGTTGCTTACCAAATGTAAATACCTTATTTGAGACTTCTGTGTGGAGGTCATGTGTTGCATGTAATAAAACTGGTAAAAGTGTTTTGGTTTGAGGAAACTTTTGAATTGTGATAAGTGGATTTTTTGCCATATCCTTTTCGCGTGATGTGACTGACCGATTTTTACGATGTCATGGCGTTCACAGTACAAAGCCTGCAACATTTCCAATAGCATTACTTTAAAGCTTTGGGTGTCAAGATGAAATCAGTGTATAAACTTGACAGAAACCCTTGTAAAACTGATGCCACCAAATTATAGAACTAACACATAAAAATGTAATGCGACTGACCGTGGAATTGCCCCTATATATTTATACATATATTATATATATACAACAAAAATCACATGATTATAAGGTGGTATATATATATATATGTATATATATATATATGTATAAGTATATGACTTCTAAATACTTAAAAACCATTTAGTGTATTACATATTGATCTCAGGCTATGAGATGATTCCATGATCAGTGATAAATGATGTTTTGATTTTCACAATATAGAAAATGTTTTCATATGTATTAAATTCAGTTGTGTCTTATTTGGTAGCAAATATGTGTTGAAATGTAAATAAAGCTTATATTTATGCTTTTATAATTTATGCATGTTTAGAGACGGTTATCGTGATGGTACGTAAGATGGACAAGTGTTACATGCGTTTTTCGGCTGCCATTTGTTTAGATCCGGGAAATTGGCCACACTAAAACCGGCCGCCGTGAGTATACGGTATAACAATTAGCCGCACGCACACGCACACACATTGACTCTTTCGTTACGAGGGAATTTTGCTTGCTCGACCAGCGAAGTCCAGCGAACTCCAGCGCAACGAATCGAACATACCCCGGTCTCAATTTTGCTTGCTCGACCAGCGAAGTCCAGCGCAATGAAGCGAACATACCCCAGTCTCAATTGTGCTTGCTCGAGCAGCGAAGTCCAGCGAAGTCCAGCGAAACGAAGCGAACATGCACCTGCTTTGTATTTCGTTTGCTCGGGCAGAAAAGGCGAGCGAAACAAAGCAAATATTTCACTTGAAAGACCAACGCCTTCCTTTCA